TCAACATGTGCCTGGTGGCCAGCGGAGCTGCGGATGCGTATTACGAGATGGGCATCCACTGCTGGGACATGGCAGGAGCGGGCGTCATTGTCACCGAGGCCGGCGGGGTGCTGATGGACGTGACAGGTAGCGGATGCGGCGGGAAAGCATCTTCCTGCCCCATCTGTTGGACTTCGGTCTTCCAGTGTGTGCTGTGTTGCTACTTGAGCTCTTAAAGACAAAACAAGCCATGTAACGGTCTGCGAATTCCAGATAGACATTGCGGTCGAGGCGAGGATAAGAGGCTGAGGGTAGTGTGGGGTTGCTCACGCTACGTGGCTAAGCCTCTTCAGACGTGAGGAGCAGGAGCTCTGGAGAGGCCGGGGAAAGTCTGGCGGGTCCGCGGGCCTGAGGGTTGTGCCAGCAGCTCTTTGGATGGCGAGCGAGTGGCAGCTGATGATGGACCTCCGCCTCCGTCACTTTCTGCCTCGGGCTGGAAGGGTTCACTGCTTCAAACTGTGGTGACGTTTTTAAAAGTCGGGCGAACCTGGGTTAAAATTCTCCAGTGTCTGAGAAGGGCAACGGAGAAGTCAGGAAGTGGGAGGGGATTCCCTGCCCACGGACGCCCAGGCGTTACAGAGGCAGTCAGAGTATAACAGTGACTCGGAGAATAGAAAAAGGTGACAGGTTCAGACTGGTATGATTGAGGACCCCCCCCCCCCCCCAAACTGGTATTAAAATAAGATGCCTGGAAACTCATTTGTGTATTGCCAAAGCTTAACCAGTATGGTCATGTGACAGAGTAGCTTTTTGAAAAGATGACTGGAAGTATTAAAATGTTACGATTGGCGTAGTGCCTGTCACCAGACGAGTTCTGTAGGAATGGTTTTGGTACGAGACGTAACTGTCTTCCTTGTTTGATTGATTTCAGGGGGACCGTTCGATTTGATGTCGCGGAGAATCATTGCTGCGGGCAGTAAAACCTTAGCGGAGAGAATAGCCAGAGAAATCCTGGTCGTGCCCTTTCAAAGAGACGACGAAGACTGAGCCTCACCGCCTCGCACTCGGCCACGGTGGCTGCTCGCCCAGATTTGCTGACGCTGATGGTGTCACAAAATTTAGGACATCATTTCAGTCCTGTAATCTGATTGGCTTAAATTGTCTTGATGTCCAGATTTAAAAATTGCCACTTGTTCCATATTTTACTAGGACTCGGTAGGCACGAATAGTTGAAATGTTGTTTCATTGTTTTAAAATTCTGTGTGTAAGAATGTACCTTTCGGCAGCTGATGAGACAAAGTAGTGAGCATTCAGTTTCCGAGTCTGTATGAGCCTCTGAAATTTTGACTTGCCACTGATGTACCTAAACATTCTTAATTACAAAGTCAACCTTTTGGAAAAGAATTTATATTGAAAATAATTTTAGGTTGAAAAGCCGCATTTCATTGAGTTTGTAAGAAGTGTGATGAGTACTGCCTGGGCCGGGCTTCGGTCTTTGCAGAGAGCCTTGCTTTGTGCATCGGTGCGCAGCTAGCACCTGGCACAGCCCCTGTCAGGCGCTCGGCAGTCTAAAGTAAAGCATTGCAACCACGAGGCTTCTGGAGGGAGCAGGTCCTGGTTATAGCAGATACATAAGTGAAGAGCTCACCGTTCTGTGTTATCACTTCAGGTTTTGAAGTGAGAATTATCTAGCCACCCTTTACATTTCACATTACCATTCCTATTAGCATTTCATTCCACACGTTCCCATTGCCACCCCGCCAGGTGTGGGCATTTCCGCAGCAAATGTATCGCCGGGACCCGCCTTCCATGTGCCGTGGCTCCCTGTGCTCACAGAGAGCCGGGTGAGCGGCGGAGACTGGACGGGCAGATAGATGGAGTTGATAATGTTGAGCTGCTTGGTCCTTCTTAGACTCGTTTCATTTCGTTTCGACCGGTTTCTATTCAGCCTTTAAATATTCCTTAAGGTCTTTGGTTTATGAAACTCAAAAAGAAAATTGCTTCAGTTCATAGATGCTTTTAAAGATTTATTTATTGTTTATTGGCATGTGAACAGACTATTAAGTTTAGTTATAGGCTTATGCGAGCCTGGTGTTTGAGGGAACGGAAGTGTTCAGGGCAGGGCTATTTTATTGTGCGCGTCTCACATTAAACTGTGTGGTACTAGACTTGAGTGTTATTGTACATTTGTGCTGTTGTCCACGTGCAGTAAAACATCTCATACTGTATTCTTGCAAATAAATATATTTTAATTAAGACAATCATGAATAACATTTTAAATAAAACGTATAATTGAAATTTTTATTAAGGTTTATAGTTTAAACTACCTTTTTGTTTATTTCTTTTAATAACTCATAATACATTTTAAAAATAAGAAATAGCCTTAATATTTAGCATTTGTTGAGCACTATAGCAGGCACGTGTAGCACTTGACACCGTGATCCTATTTAATCCCACAATAGTCAGGAGAGCTGTTGTCCTCATTTTACGAGGCACGTGGGTGGTATTGATGAGCCCGCTTTCCCTGCTCAAGGTAACGAGCGGTGAAACTCAGTAGAGAGCGAGACAGCTGGAGCCCACAGTCTGACCCTGCCCAGCGGTCCTCACCTGGCTGCCAGGAGGGCCACCTGGGGCTTTTGAACAGGCATTGCTTGGTCCCACCTGAGGGAATCGGGTTTACTTGGTCTGTGCTGTGGCCTGGCCGGCTGCCCTTTGGTAAGGGGCCCGGGGACTCTGCGGGTGGCCAGGAGTGAGCACCGGTTGCTACACTCTCCTGCTTTCTCAGGAATGGCTGCCTCAGCGACTCGCCCTCACCACCTCCACCGCCTCGGAGGGCTTCATGGTGAGATTGGGCGTCTTAACACTGAAATGTGGTTGTGCGTCATCCCTTTGCTGATGGGTGAGAGCCCGATTTGAAAGATTGTAGCGGCCTTTTTATTTCCACAAATGACCACTAGATGGCAAACTACACATAGGGATCATCTTATACATTAGCATTTTCATTACTGAAAACATTTTATTTTTCCTTCAAATAACCTCATTGGCCAGTATTCGAGTTTAATAATATAGCACCAGAGCCAGGGTAGTTTTTCATGAATGAAATACGCTGCATTGTGGGTCAACTTATTTCCCTTCGGCAAAGCCATAGGTACTGATGTCCTGTGGCCTAGACTTCAGCATCGTGCAGCTCTAGCTTTCAGGGTTCATTAACCACAAACAAACCAAGTGTGGGCCTTGTAATACTTGAGAATTTCCTCCAGTGGAGTCCAGTGTCCCTGTCAAGTAACCAGCCGTTCACAGAGCCATTCCCGACGTCCTGCTCACGTTTCCTGGGGGCTGGTTATAAGGCGAGGTGCGGTGGTGAGACGTGAGGAAAATGATAAAAGTATATGAATGCGGTCATGCAAGCACTTGTGTTGATCAGTGAATGATTTTTAAAGTTTTCTATCAAAAAGCACTACTTTCCGTGGCCCTTCATCAGACTCATGCACGGGCACCAGCTGAGGGCTGGCCTGGGAAGCCGTGATGTGGACGTCTGAGGGCCCTGCCCTGCCCACCCAAACCTTCCCACCTCCATCCCTGCCTTGCTCCTGTTCCTCGCTAGCTGTCCCCACGAAGGCATTAATTTTTGGGCGCATGGGAGAGCAATTCCCAGGATTACGGGAGTGAGGGGTCCGTAGGTTGTCTGGGTGAGTTTCAAGGAGGGAAGATGCCCTCGCTGTCCGTCTGTCTGCCCACAGCCGACACTCCTGAGAAGGGCTGAGCCCGGCGCTGCACCTGTGCGTCTGCCCGGCAACCAGACTTCCCTCTCGGGTCACTGGTCACTCCCAGGAGGAAGCTCCGGGAGACCCAGGTGTGAGCCGTTGGGTGACGCAGCCTGGCATCGGCTCTGACACAGGTGTGAGCAGGGCGTGCTCCACACCTGCTGGGCCCTCACTAAGCTAACAGGGCCAGCGCTTCACTGCGAGGCCTGGCGGTCCCGGGGTGCAAACAGCAGACGCTGTGTGCTTAGAGCTAACAGGGCCAGCGCTTCGCTGCGGGGCCTGGCTGGTCCCGGGTGCAGACAGCAGACGCTGTGTGCTTAGAGCTAACAGGGCCAGCGCTTTGCTGTGGGGCCTGGCGGTCCCGGGTGCAGACAGCAGACGCTGTGTGCTTAGAGCTAACAGGGCCAGCGCTTCGCTGCGGGGCTTGGCTGGTCCCGGGTGCAGACGCTGTGTGCTTAGAGCTAACAGGGCCAGCGCTTCCTGGGCCTGCAGTTAGCATAGAGCTCAGTTGAACTTGAAAAAGTTGAGCCCCACTCACTTTTAGAGAACCGAGTCCAGATTGCATGAGGACTTGCCACAGCAACGTGCTCAGCGTTCGCGTTAGAATCCGAGGCTGCAGCCTTTTCCTAACCATGGCCACCCCCGTGGGCCGTGTGGCCGTGAGCAGCGGCCCCGGGGAGGACAGGTCCAAGCCCAGGGAGGGCGTCCTCCTCAGGACTTGGGCCGAGTTAGGGAGAGCGGAGCAGGTGGGGAGGAGCTCACCTTGGCCTTGCTGAGCTCCCAGCAGGAGGGGGGTGAGAGGGGGCGTGTCCAGGCAGAGGTGCCGGAGGACACCAAGGTTTCAGGAAGGGAGGACTGGTCAGCCCGGAGGGTCCCCCCAGAGTGGCAGCGGACACTGTCGAAGGGGTCACTGCAGGAGGCGGAAGGAGCGGATGGAGATAAAGCTCCTCCCGGGAAGGTCTTCCCAGTGTGGCCGTCCACCCGGGAGGGTTCCCCGGGGAGCTCGGCGGGTATGAAATAAGCGGAAAATAGTGACCAAGAGCAAGTTCACTCCTCCAGGAACCGGCCTCTCGACCTCTCAGATAAGATGGGGTTATGAACCCTAAGCCACCCGACTGCGGGAGAAACAGTGTGGGGGCGAGGCAAGCGGTGTGGGGTCCCCTGGAAGCTCGCCCCTGTAGAGGCAGGCACCCGGGAGGGAGGACACCTCCTCGCAGTGCGGTGTGTTTTACCGCCCGCGCAAGCAGCAGACGCGGGCCTGCGGCTGTTCCGGGCCTGGTGCTTCCTGCTCGCCCAGCCCCGGGCCTGGCCCCGCCACGTGACCCAGTGGGCCCTGGCTGTGGGGCCACTGAGCAAACTGCTCCAGCCGACAGCACTTCCCCTGGCGGGATCGCTCCTCCAGTGTTTACCGATCCTCCGGTGACTCAGGCCGAGGCGCTCACGCCGCTCACACACATGGGCCCTTGGGCATGAGCGGCGGCCGCCAGGCTCTGAGCCGGGCTGAGTGGCTGGTGGCACAGGGCATGCGACACTGAGGGAGCAACTGCTATAAAGTAATTCACCAGATAACACCGCAGGGACGGCCCTTTCCACAGGCATTAGGCTCCATCTGCAGCCGCAGGGGAGGAAGGGGCCGCTCGCCGAGCTCACCGCTCTCCTCCACGCGTGACGCTCTCCGCCACGCGTGACGCTCTCCTCCACACGTGACGCTCTCCTCCACGCGTGACGCTCTCCTCCACACGTGACACTCTCCTCCACACGTGACGCTCTCCTCCACGCGTGACACTCTCCTCCACACGTGACACTCTCCTCCACGCGTGACGCTCTCCTCCACACGTGACGCTCTCCTCCACGCGTGACGCTCTCCTCCACGCGTGACACTCTCCTCCTCCACGCGTGACGCTCTCCTCCACGCGTGACACTCTCCTCCACGCGTGACGCTCTCCTCCACACGTGACGCTCTCCTCCACGCGTGACGCTCTCCTCCACACGTGACGCTCTCCTCCACGTGTGACACTCTCCTCCATACGTGACGCTCTCCTCCACACGTGACGCTCTCCTCCACGCGTGACACTCTCCTCCACGCGTGACGCTCTCCTCCACACGTGACACTCTCCTCCACGCGTGACGCTCTCCTCCACATGTGACACTCTCCTCCACGCGTGACGCTCTCCTCCATACGTGACACTCTCCTCCACGCGTGACGCTCTCCTCCATACGTGACACTCTCCTCCACGCGTGACACTCTCCTCCACGCGTGACGCTCTCCTCCACGCGTGACACTCTCCTCCACGCGTGACGCTCTCCTCCACAAGAGACACTCTCCTCCACGCGTGACGCTCTCCTCCAAACGTGACACTCTCCTCCACGCGTGACGCTCTCCTCCACACCTGACGCTCTCCTCCACACGTGAAACTCTCCTCCACGCGTGACGCTCTCCTCCACGCGTGA